AAATATGGAAAAGTTCAAGGGGTATGAATACTTTTGCAAACCACTGTATGTATGGATCACTTGGGTTGTTACCAACATCTGGTGAAAATTTCATGTCATTAGCACCTCTAGTAATATATTTACTGAGAAAAATGTTGACGTGTTTAATACTTATTTTACCCGCTGCATGTAGCACCAGATCCTACAGATGTAACCTCAGGACACTGTACAGGTAAACTGTCTAAACTGTGAATTCAAATTCAAAATAGATTCAGACTCAAACCTAATTAAAGCTCATTTAAATACATTAGATTAGAACACAACACCAATCAGTCAGTGTATCACAAAATATCACTTTGTAAAAAGCTGACAAATAAAAACCCCAGCAGATTTGTTAAATCTAAACTTTGGTGCCATGGCCCTTCCTGAGCAGAACGTGGGTGAGCGTGGGGAACAATGACTCTCCTTCAACAGAAAGACACAGTCAGCAGYACCAGAACCAGAACTTATCTGCTAGGCTTTTAAAGGAAACAAATAAGTTTGTGTAATAACTCACAGGGAAACAAGGGTTCTGATTGTTTATATACAATTAGTACATAGATCTTAACTACAGACTGAGTTACTCAGTATCACCTTTTTATTTGTTTAGCTCATTTCATTAAAAATAATCAGAAGCTGGTTCTCGTCTCCAACACGTCCCATCTAATCCTCCTTTGTCTCTCCAGCTGCCACCTTCACCATCTTGATGCTGCTCGCCAGTCTGAACAGCTGTATGAACCCCTGCATCTACCTTGTTTTCAGTGGGAAGTTGCCCAGGAGACTGCTGGCTGTGATGTGTGCAGGTGAGCCTGACCTGAAGGAGTCCATGAAGGAGGAGGCCACCACGGTCAGCTCCCTGTACATCAGCCTCAAAGGCCTGTCGGACTGCAYGTAGAAGTCCTAAAATCAAGCCTCCGTTGAACACTGGAAACTTCAGCCTCGGGGAAATCCAGATAAAACTGTTTCTTTTAATAAAATAAAAGGGTAAGATTCTGTGGGTTRAATGTGAAAAAGTTAGTCAAGTTTCATTTGATCAGTAAATTGTCTCATTGAGTTGTTTTTTCCCCCTTAGATTTCATGAAGCAAATTATGAGCTAAAGTGTTTGTTTTAKTTTGATAAATGTGCTGATTAGGAAAAAAAAGTGTTACAGAAAATATAAATGTCATGAAATGAAGCTGCAATGTGCTCAGGTATCAACCACCTTGATTTTGAATTTCAAAGTTTCAGGGTTGCGCCCTGGGGGCCCGGACCTCTGTGCCCTTTCCTGGATCTGCTCTGCTGTGGCGGGTGCTGGTGGGGCCCATGAGT